TTCTTCAAAACAGCCGCCATTAACAAAGAAAGTGTTTTTCGCAAAAGGCGAAACAAATTTCCATTCTTTATAAACACCCATATCTAGGAGAAGATCTGAACTTTGCAATGGAAGGGGAGGAGGATGAGCAAAACCACCTCATCTTTACAATTCCTTCAAGTCATAATTGTTCCCTTTTCTTGACATTGAACAGTCACATCATCACAGATGAGATGGTATAAGCAGTTTCCAAGTCGAAACGGGATGAAACCAAAGATGGCTAGAGCCAGAGTTTTGGTTTTTTTGATGCAAACAAGCTTTATAAAAATGAAGCTCATTGTAAGCTTCACCGCCAAAAACCACTTCGGTTTATTCGGTCAACTTCCGCCTAGTCATGGAAACACGATGTAGTGCAGCTTGTTCAGTGAGGGGGACGTTTGGACTTAAGGTGTATCAAAGCATCAGAAAAGTCTGTTTGTAATCAGAAGTTGAATCAAGATCTGATCTTCGGGACAGATTGTAGTTCAATTCAAAAAGCATGACAAAAGAAACTGCACATGCTTGATTGTCTCCTGTTACACGTCTGTGACTTCATTTGCCGGTAGAAAGCCTCTGATGTAAAAATGTATTTTCTCAGTAAAGTGATGCAACTAAGGGAAGGGTGCCTTACATATGGGATTACGCGTTTCATCAATTACTAGATAGGTTGAGTTAGGAGCTGTTCTAACGTTGCTATCCATGTGCGACCACTTACTTAACCAAACAACTCCGGACACGCACAAGTCTCTCTGACTCACGCTAAAATTATATAATAAATAAGATTTTCTTGGTACACAGTGTTTTTAGCTCTTCTGTTTGAATGTCAGTGTAACACTTTCGCTCGTGGGTGTTTCTCTTACAGCACCGACTACGATATGATGGCTGACGCGAGAGGTTGACTAAGGAGAATGCCGGAATGACATTCAAAGGAAAGGAGGGACTATGTGAGACAATATTTGTTTATTCAACTCTTCGTTTCGGTCTCGTAGGCACTTAAGGCTCCACCTTTGTACTTCTGCTGGGCAACAAGACCTCCAGGCCATGCCGTAAGACAGCCCAGCCCTTCTGTACGTCGTCAATACACTGTCCGTCCTAGTACTATGACTTCTTTCGTCTTCAGGAAAGACTCGAGGCACTATACACCTATTCTTAGCTAGGGCTACATTTAAAATCAGCAGGAAATATGTAATTTTTAGAAGTTATTGGGAAAAACCTGACACGTGAAAACCAACTGTTTTCTCACCATGGGATTGAAGAAACCCGGGAACCAGAATGAATGTGGGGCACCTGCACTGAGCCAAGAGTGGAGTTGATCGTTCCTCTCCTTCAACTCCGTGAACCAAAATCCCAAAGTCGAAGCCTCCCAGGAGATCTGAAACCACATCATCGACACGTTAATATGCCTCGCGAATACCAGCTTGTACGGAGCAAGTCTGGGCATTTATTAGACCTACATTCGCTACTGTACTTCGACAAAGTAAACCAAGCCAAGGAAGGTGATACCTTATTATCTTATTTTAAGCCCATTTCCAGCTCTATTCAGTATCTTTCTGAAAAGGTCTATTCGGACTGCATTTGTTTGCGACCGCAGTATTTTAAGAAGGTGGTTTTTCCAATTTGCAAGCAATCACCTATTTCAAGTAAGGGTTTTTGAAAGTACTTTTAAAATTCAGGACGCATTCACACAAAGATCAGGCTGTTGTGCAATACTTTAATCACTTGTTTAAATCTTCGTTTTGGTTTTGCGGGTACTTAAAGTACTGCCATCGTAATCCCGCATTCCCAATTTCACTATCCGAATCTGCCATAATCCTTTATACATTTCCGGATAAATCGGTACCAAAAAGCGCAATTCATTTCCAATTCTCAACTTGCAAGTCAACCTTATCTCATGGCCGGTTGCGTTGGATTAACAAAGTCTTAAAAGCTGCTTGACTGAGTTTTTTACTGCTAAACACAGAAAATAAAATTCACCAACCACACAACACTTCTGTAATTACTTCTTTGGAAACCTTCTAGATGAATATTGGTGCCACAGGCATGACCTGGTCCAACTCACCCTAAGCCAAATTGCAGGAACCTTGGAAAGGTAAATCGAGTCCATGGCATCGCGGAGGTTCTCATTTAGGACGACCTTTCCATCTATGGCATCAACTAAATTGCTCAATACCCTCTTCGTGACTTTAAGAAGTTTTGAAATACGATCGATTTCCTGCCGCAGGAAGATAACGACTGGTTTGAGACTACCGAGAGTCTTCAACCTTTCGGGTAGAGTGAAGGGGTTGTAGGGCGGTGGAATGGTGGACAGCATGGACTCGCAGATCTCACGCACTTGGATCTCCTTTGTGAGTCCTGTGGTGGTATCAGAGGCTTCGTAGATGTCAGCTGCCCCTTCTATGTCCTGAATGACTTCTAGATCTGTGATGGCCTGAATGCTGGCAATCATGCTCTCGGTGAACTGGGTTGAGTACCTAGCATGTAAGAGAAAGTAGAATTGTAATTGGGAATCAAGAGAGTAGAATGTACTTCTGCACCCTTAAAGTGGAATTATCCGATGCCTTCCGGAATGGTTTCTGTCAACCAGACAAACTCACGCAATTTCCGCATTGGGATGGAGGTGGATGGACTCGGGAGATTCCTGACTAGGCAGAGAATGGATGTATCCAAGATACTGGTTCACAGTGGACAAATGTGGAATGATATAGCCTGGTGCGAGTTCATATTCAGGCTGAAACATGCGTTCCTTGAACATTTGCTTAGTGAGTGTCACCATTATCACAGTGTCCTCGGGGTCGGTGATGCGTCCACCGAATTGGATCTCCGAGAGAAGGTAGCGCACGCACTTCCAGTCTATGCCCTGCAACCATTTGAATAAATTTTCTTAAATTTCACTAATCTCACTTGTTGCATTGTCGATTTCTTCTATAGCTATGGATCCGTGAAAACACGTTAATACAAGTGTTCTGCTAATAATTCCATCTGGAATGCCTAAAGGAGTCAGGAGTGCACCCTGACCTGATGGGTTCCTCTGATGGATGCTTTGAAATAGTCGTTCTAGTTCTTTTGCCACTCATTTTTAACAAATTCTATGTTGTAAGACTCTCAAAAATGCTAATCATTTGGCAATGTTCTCTTTCAAGTTAAATGAGTTTGGGAGTGTTAGAGGCCACCTTTTTACAGTCGAATGACTCGAAGGTAAAATTTATAAACTCCAGACTTCCCCATTAATTACCTTTTAAAATTATAGAATAGACTTCAACAAATGGCACCTCCTGTCAGCATAACAAACATTTAATTTTGGGCGGAAAGTATTATCTGCAACGTAACTCGTAAAACTAAGCAGTTTTTTGACTAAGATTTAACGATACCATAGGAAAAATCGTCATGCATCCAATCCGAAGGCAGTTGAAGTGGAACTCTCATTTTGCTTCTCCAAAGTAGATTAGTATGTCTCAAAGTTTAAGCATTTCAATTTATGCATCCTTGTGTCAAAGATAATATAATAATTAGTAATGGCGGGTAGCCGCAAATTAAGGAATAGTACGATAGAAATCCACGTGGACTGGAGGATGAGACATTATAGCAGGTGGCTGCACAAAGATGATGGAGAAATAAGTTAGATGGAGACAATGGAATTTTTACGTAGAGAAAAGGTGTATGTTGTAGGCGTGAAATAAATTTAGCAAGTTCTGACCATTGGAAGACGATAATTTGCTGTCTCGAAATTGCATCTTCCAACGTTTGAATGGGGAGAGTTATATTCTCGAGCAAACTTTCGCAACCTTTTTTGGGATGAACTGAATGCAGTGTTTGCTGCTTCCAGTCATCACTGAAAGGAAACTTTCAAAAGAACTTAAAGCGATTTAAAAGCTTACTAAAGATACAGAGGTGCTATCGTCTGCTAGCAGGTAGAGGTGTCAAACTTGCAGTGCAGGCATTAATTGTCTCCGAAAAAGTTCTGGGGTTTTTCTATTATTTAGAAAATCAAGACATTTTTTACACCACAATAATATTATAATGAGGTGTTTGAAACAGGATCAATTTGGGACACTGTAGTACTTATGCTGATTATTTAACTCTATTTTAATTATGCGGCACTTTCGTATCCGCTGAGCGGCCTAAGCACTGGGCCATGACAGTGGCCCCCAGCTCTTCTATACGTCAGCATTGTAGTTTCTGTCCTAGCAGTATGCCTTGCTTTGTATTCAAGAAGGACTCAGGGCACTACATTGACGGCAGTGGAAAGCGCACCTGATCGTAAAGGACAAATATCCTGCTTTCTATTCCCCAGTGGTAAGCCCTAACGTGAGAGAAGAAGGGTATGTGTGTCGTAGATACGAGAATTTGTGATAACTCCTAACAACAAATTTGCAAATGACTTCTACTTTCGGCAAATTAAACGAGTCCTGTGTTCTGCAGGATTGCTGAAGCTGAAGCGCCGCTAGCCACGAACCATCTGGGAAAGTTTGTCACAGAGCTGTCTACGGTACCTACATGTAGATTTCAACTGAGTGAACACATTATGTCTCTTCTACCTCTCTTCTAGCCAAATTGGTTCCAGAAAGATATAGCTGGGCAACACTGAGGTGAGAACAAAGCAGCAAGAGGGAACGGATGCGAAAGCTTATTCCCGCTAAACCACATTCAGTCTGTCCTTTTCTAAGTGGCCCTGCCTTTGGGTTAGTGTTCGTGCAACCAGCAATGGACATATGAGATGGTCACCAGTCTCCCCCTTCCCCTAATACAATTCCAAACAATACAAAACTTTAAGTCCAGTAGAATTACCAATTACATGCAAATTCGGTGAATGGCGCAATGTGTTCGCGGGTGCAATTCTTACAGCACCGACTACGTCGCGATGGCCGAAGCGAGAAGTTGGCCAAGGAGGGCGCCGGTAATGACGCTTAAAAGGAGAGGGGTCTATGCAATGCTTTGTTTGTCTGTATGAATCTTCTTTCTGTTTACGCGGGCACTTAGGCCTTTGCAATTGCATTTCTCCTCGGCGACATGGCCTACGGCTCGTGTTAATAGACGCCCTCCTTAGCCCCTCCCTACGTCGACAACGCATAAGCTGCCCAAGTATTATGCCTTCTTTCGTATATAGAGAAGTCTCGGGCCGCTGCAATATGTTTCAGTTATGCATCCTCTATATTTAAAAATTTTTAATAATAATAACAACTGATTTTACTACGCCATTATATTTGACTGAAACATAGCAAAGCACAAATAATCACTCCTACTTTCTGGCTTGAAAATAGGAGTTAAAACGATGATGGTCAGCGATAAAATTAACCGAATTTATAGACTACACAAGGCCATTGCTGTCTAAAATGTTCTGAAGCCTGAAAGCAATAGTAGAGCAATGAAATTGAAAGTGAGGACTGGAATTTTTTTCAATGTCACAAGGACCTCTACTGGTGTAGGTTCAGCATTTGGTTAAATAAGTCAGAAGTCGGATTAACTTCGTTAATTTTGCCTGCATTATCTGGAACAGACAAAGTGACTCAACGTTGCAATTTCAGAACGGAGCTTGACGTCAGTGAAATTACTAACAGCACGCAACGGCGAGGCTTAGACACAGCTACTACAAGATTCATGGCAGAGAAGGGGATCTAATCGGCACATCTATCCCGGAACTTGAGCCACTTCTTACTGTTTCACGTCCTGTGTCTCACCTCAGGAGCAAAGCAGTAGGTACGAGAAGGATACTAACAAAGTCAGTGAGTTACCACTTCTTACCCAGGATTAATCCGAGACGTTAAGTTAAATGGCCTCTACTTAGCTACTCGTGATGGCGATAAGATATAAAAGCGCCTTAAATTACCATCAGCACTAAAAGCACAACATATATGCGTCCTGGGTGCTATAAAAACAATTGAGCAACTGTTTGAGCAAGTAACTCTAAATTGCCTTCTTATCAGTTTGAGTTACTTTGAGCAAAAATCGACCAAAGGTTTCAACGCGTTCGCTACCAGTGTCACGAATATGTAAGCTATGTTCTCCATCAGTTCATAACGGCTTTGAATGCACCGGATCGTGCATTGCAAACAGATCAGCCGAATCTAAGACATACTGTTTTGATGGAAACCATAAGATGCTTTTATAGAAGACGATTACTCACGCTAGATCTGACATTTCTTTTCATAACCTCGATCTCATCAATGTGACTTCGCATGAACTCCACCGAGGCACTATAATCCGCCAGATTGAACTCATACGGCACCGACCACCCCATCGGCGTGAATTTTCTTCTTCCCTCCAAGGTTCGGTGTAGAAACGCCAATGCGTAGAGGACGACCTTCCAGTGCATACTAACACAGGAGTCTAGGAGGTCCTGAGAGATATCGGAGAAGGTTTTTATCAGACCCGAGCGTAAGCCCTCGGGTGGTTGGTTGATGAATTTCACTGACATCTGCAAAAAGTTAATCGGAAATCGACTGTGCTCCTCCGTGGTGATCCACAGACGAAACTGGTCTGATGTCACTAGCCTCTTGCTATTGGTGTGGCTGATATTGGGTAGCGCGGTGTGCTGGTCCATGAGAGATTCATCTGGGCTGTCGGTACGTGAATGAGGATCTGTTGGAACTCTGTGATATGCTTCGCTTTCCACCCTTACTCCTGCTAGGAGAGTGGACAGTTCATTGATGTAATCAAGACAGAGGTGGCAGTTCTGTAGTAGTACCCAGGAGCCCTGGCGCATTGCCTGTGCAATGTACTGGCGTGCGTGGATCTCCTGACCTTGGCCCATGGAAATGAAATGAAGTTCGGTTTGCATTCGGCGTGCCAACTGCTCTATCAGTAAAGTGGGATCTGCGCCAACTGTGAGAAGATTTATGATGGGGGTTTTGGGTGTTGAGTCGGCGTAGATCCTGCGTGGACATTAGAAGGTGGTCGAGTCAACAGGCATAAAAATTGCTATCACCAATCAAGTATTCAAAGAAACTTATCCACTTCAATGTTTCATCTTGAAGTCTACTAACTGGTTACAGATGGTCTAATAAAATGATTTATCACCGAGCTGGAGGAAAAATGTAGAGAAATAGAAATAGAGTGGTATTTTTGCCAATGATTTCAATAAAACTTTATTGAACTATTCTTGTATATACAGAGAGAATAGTGCATATAATTTTGTTTTTGTGCATCAGTCTTACTTACAATTTAAATAACTGACCTGAAGGGGCATAGCCGATTTATAAAACTGTGTTTCAAGTAAAGGAAGTGAACAAATATTTTAAGTTGAGACGAAAGTTGGCCCCACTTCTGACTAAAAGCTACTCAAGACATAAGTGAAAGCGGTGTTTTTTTGTACCCTTTCTGACTTATTTGTTGTAGATACAACTGTTACTTCAGCGAGTACTTCTAAAAGACATTTTAAGAAAAAATAAGAGGAAGTGAAATCTGTAATTACCTAGATGGCTTTAGTAAGCTGAGTATGATCTAAAATTAGTAACTTGAGCTTACTCGGCGAATGGTGCGACCATGAACAGTCAGACGTTCAAATTCTTACAATCATTTGTGTAGTCAGATGTTTGTCAGAAAAAGAATGAAATACGTACTTAAGTAGTGCGCCACTTCATTGGAGTCTAAAGTTCGTGATAGTCTGGTATTGAAAGAAGAGAATCACTCTGGAAACGTACAAACAATCCATCTTGTAGTCTAATCGGGCAACTGGTAGCTGATTGTGACAATAGTCATTTGTTTTGGCCACTTAAGCAGAAAGTATCGGTGAAATCAGAAACTATAACTATACTCGATGCTTTAAAATCCGCTTTCAGATCAGCGAAATTAAACTTCCAACAGATCACTTTTTGCTTGGATGGTGGGAGCATTTTGCGATGCGCCAACACGATGAAATTTCGACTTCTCCAGAGTCATAAATGCAGGTACTCATAGAAAGATTGGCGGCCACATCTAGTTCATATTGAAAAGTTTGTTACTAATCAAAACGATTTGAAGCTACATTTTTTTCCGGTAAACGCCTATACTTAATCAGATTTGCTTTCTAAGGGCGCTAGACGAAGAAAGGAGGGACAGAAGGGGATAAGGCAATAACTCACTCTTCCACATTGAGGAGGGTCTCCTCTGCAAACCTGTGGCCCAGAGTTTCGCTGATGTACTTGCGGGCCTGGTGCACTACGCGATCGGGGCACCAGGTGCGGATGAAAAGAAGACGTCCAAAGGTGGAGAGGTCGGTGTCGTAGTTGAGTGGGAAAACGCTCTCCTCTGGCGCCTCGACCTCGTGCCATCTGCGCCATCGGCGCTCGCTCCCTATCACCTGTCACCAAAGCAAAGGCGTAAACCAGTGACACGGTAGTCATATATTTGTCAATTAGCAGATTGCTAAAATGCTAATCGATGTGTTGATACCAGCCGGCAACACAATTTTAGTAAGACGGGGAAAATGATTCACTTTTGGTACATACTTACACCCTATACCTCAAGAGGAGTCTACCCACCTGATCTACCAGTGAAGTGAAAGCCGGCAACCTCGACAAGGCATTGATGTTGAGCCAAACATCATCAGCTATCCATTTGGCCGGTTTTGGTGGGCAAGTGAGCAAACTGAGAGCCGAACCACCCCTCAGAAATACCTCCACCTCATCCTTATAAATATTTTTCATCTGCAATTCAATTCTCATTGCCAGGGACAGCGTAAACATCACAAAGTCCTTCTTATAGTAGCCTCGTGTGTAGAATCTCCACATACACTTCGTCATGTACTTGACTATCTTATGAATCCGCTTCTGTGTCACGGAAGACTCTTCGGAGTTCATCAAAGATTCGTTAAAGAGTACGAGAAACTGTGGCAGACCTGTCTCATACATGCGGTTTACTTTGGCCATGTCCTCAAGGAGAAAGAAAATGAGGGCACCTCGCTCTGCTACCGGGCGGTACTCCTCGCGCGCCGCCTCAATCTCCGCTTCTGCCTCTTTGGATTTAGCCAACTGCTCCATCACCCCCTCTGAAGTAATCTTTGTAGATTTTAAAACCTCCAGTAAATCCTGATCGTCTACTAAGGAGCCCTTCGTGTTGGCCAGCCGGTAGAGCAGGTTGATTTGCAGGGACTCAATACGTTTCTTGTTCTCCATGGTGCTGTTGAGTAGTTCTATTCTCAGGCTTTCCAGTTTCTTGGGGAAAGAAATATGGAACAGACGTGCAGTATGAATTCATTTACCATCATTTTACCAACTTAAGTTCTTACCTTTACATATCACTCTTATGGATATCTATTACTTGTATTTAAGTCCTACGGTCATATTTATTCATTTCATGCCTCAATCACTGAGCTAGGATTCTTTGAATCTCAAAAGTGAGCTAAAGAAGTGATTCGAATAGAGTTTACTTCTCGTTCCACTGACACCACATGCGCCAAAAGTTGGTCTTCCAGTCCCTTTACGGTCACACTGAAGTCAATGAGGGCTGTGTTGGCAAGCAACTCGGGCGTGAATACGGGATTGGCCAGTTGGGTGGTGAGGAAGAGCTGGAATTTCGGATCAACCGTGGTCTCGAAGTCCCATATTTTCACCTAGATGGAGGCGCACGAGTAGAATCCTCCAAAGGACTAGTAAAGCATGGTTTCATCCCTCAAGAAGGTGTAGTAGGGTGACATATAGGTTTCAGTCTCTTCTATAAATATCCCCTATATTTTACATTCATTACGGAATTCGAGATCAGTGAAAGAAATGTAGGTCTAGGTAAAGGTATTAAAGCCGACAGTGTGAAATAGATTTTACGTGTAGTATACATGGCCCAAAGGTAATCAAATACCTGCAAAGTAGTTCCTACTGTATAGAATGACTGTGTGATGAGTCGGTCGAGACCTGAATCTATTGCCTCCATAATTCCCTCTACAATAAGATTTTTTCCCGTGTTCAAAGCCTCCTCGACGTCAGTTTTGAACTTCTTGCTCGAAACGGAGGTAACCTGCAAGCATCAGGCAAAATTAATCAGTTCCTTTAATAACCCTGAGGCCTCTCTGTAAAGAGGGAACATCAATTAAAAACGGATCAGCACTCAAGAAATGTAATCTCAGAAAGAAGTTAAAATGATGCCTCTGTTTCGTTGTAATAAAGTCATAGTAAAGTCAAAAAATATGTAATACTGCGACTAATTTTTTTGACTCTTCGGTTTAATTTTTGCAGGCACAGAAGGCTCTGCCTTAGTACTTCCGCTGGCTGAACGAACTCCAGCTCGTGCCGGTAGCCTCATCAGCCCGTCTGTACGTCGGCATTAGAGTTTCTCCTTAATCATTATACTTTCTCTCAACTTCAGGAAAGACTTGAGGCTCTACATTGGTGAGAGTGGAAAGCGAACCCGATCCTAAAGGACAACTGTCCTGATTTCTATTCCCTAGTCTCAAGTCCTAACGTGAGAAGAAGGGCATGTGTTTTAGATGGGAAAAGCTGTGATGACTCTTAATAAAAAATTTTCAAATGACTTCTACCTTTAGCAAATACATGAGTCTCATGTTCTGCAGGTTTGCCATTAGAAACTGAAGAGACGCTAGCGACGAGCTACTTTGGAAAGTTTGTTGCAGAGTTGTCTACGGTGCCCAAATGAAGTAACCACGCGATATCTCCACCTTTTTACTGGCTCAACAGAACTCAGATAGGTATGGCCGGGGAGCAATGAAGTAATAACAAAGTGGAAAAGAGAACCAGACTCGAAACCTTATTTCAACGAAACTGTTTTAAACTCCGTCCCTCATTTAATAAACTGCTTTCAGGCCACTAGCGGTGGACAGCCCATTCCCGTACCCCATTACAGTTCCCAAACAGAACGGAACTCTGGATTCAGTGAAAGTACCACGATGGATCGGTGAGCATGTAGTCAAATATCTTCTCATTCTCACACAAACTTGATAACAGATGAGGCGGGTTCGTTAGTGATTTTCTGACAGTAATGACCGCATTGTGGTTGCGAAGGGAAGTTGACCAACGGAAGCGATGGGGATAAAGCTTTTAAGGAGAGGGACTGCACAACACTTTGAATGCTTGTTTAACTCCTCGTTTCGGTTTTGCGGGTACCTAAAGTTCCTTCTTTGAACTTCTGCTGGGTGGCATGGCCTCCGGGTCAGGCCAGTAGCCCCAGTAATTTAGTACGTCGGCAAATGAAGAAGAGTAAATAGGTTACAAATAAAGAAGGAATTTATTCGTACACTACTGCACCGTAACAGACAAATTTGAAGCAAATATCAGAACAGAGTATTACGCTAGGCTAAACGATACCCAAACAGATTTCGCTGCAGAAAGTACGAAGCCTCAGAAATGAACATAGTTATGGTTTAAGTTAAAAGGGAAGTTACAGATACTCATAATAAATAAATCAACTCTTATGCCATAGAGTAATACTACGGCTGAACATTCCTAAACAATTATCGCGCCATGAGCTAGCAAAAGTAGGACATGACGCTTTGAATGGATGCGCATCAAGTGGACCACACATTTTTGATTGTCCGATGACACTGACCTATAAAGTCACACGCACACGGGAAGTGGGGTAATGGTGAATAAAAGTACCCATTGCTTGTTGTATTTCGCAGTCTTTAACTCACTATTACTCTGCCAGCGTAGAGATTTGTAAGCCACTTCTTGCCCTGACCTTGGGGATCAATTAACAGGGGATAGCGCAGTCTGGCCGTTGCTATGACAGCATTTTGGATGGACAGTTCGTCCAGTGGAAGGCCCTGTACGTTCCATTCATTCACCTGGGAGAGGTAAAATAATTGCCTTTAGGGGTATGTACAAATGCAAATTAATAAACAACCATGAGGGAGGCAAAACAGTTCTTATTATTAAATGTGCCAAATAAGCTCACTCAGTGAATGCTGCTGAGGATGCCTGAAACTAATATAAATACGCTTCTGCTCAACTTTCTAAAAGTCCCAACTGATTGCCAGTTTTTGAACCTTCAAGAAAGTTATGTTCCTCTTCAGCCCCACCTAGGTGGTTAAGGTCAGTCAATTACTATAGGTGGGTGCAATTGAAAATGTCGAGACACACAGACCCGCACTCAGTCTCGGTCATCTCACCACCAGGAGCGCGCATACTGGCCATAGCCCCTTTCGGTCAGTAAAGACACAGTGAAGTTCCTCTCGCGTATCTGGTTGGCGAACTTGATAGGATTCAGATTACTCGCGCATACAATACCAAACCAATCGCAATCCAGTTGAGCTTATAACCACTGCTTCAAGATGTGGTGTTTGGCTATATTATTCAGTGATAAGAAGGGCGACAAAAGTATGTTTTACCACCTGTAATTTACATTTTTTAAAATTAGTTTACTCTGGGCCTTTTAATAGGATCCAGAAACAGTAGCCGGTGGTTGTCTTTGTTACAACCGAGAAGTTGGTGGAGAACATGCAAATATTTTCAGAAAGAACAGATTTGTTGAAGTATTTAGCAAAAATTTGTCGCTATCGGTGGCGAAATACATAATCAATCATAACCACCAATCCAAACGACCAAATTAAAAAGAGACATGAAGAATTAAAACGATTTATCCCTAGGGTCAGTGTAAGGACAACGGCTCTGGGGTCAATATCTGGCTTAGCCAAACATGATAGCACTCGTCATTTTTGTCATTTATTAGCAAAATAATCTACTTGTCTGCCAAACAGTTTCAATTGTTTTGCTTTTATAAAATAAAAAGTTATTTACAAAGAAGTTTCTCTACAGGAATATCACAAAGGGCAAATTGTTTGATGGCGATAATCGGTCAAATAAACAGGGATTTCTCTGGGAAAATACAACTTATTCGCATATCAGTAGGAGGATTTTAAGTTGATACACAAAAGGGCGGTGCTTAGAATAAACATTTTAATCATAAATTCGGAATTTTATTTGAATGGAGTCATATTAAGAAGCTGATCCAAATTTCAGAGAGCATTCATAAAACAACTTTGAAATCAGTCTAGAAGTTCGTGAACGCTTTGATAGGAAAAGGATTTTGTAAAGCCAGAAATCGTATAATCTAATAAGAACCTTTGACATTAATTATGGGTGAGATTTTCAAAACAATTTGGTAATAACTAGCTCTAAATGAGGGTGTTTTAGCACTGGGTTGCTTGATGGAAGCACCTATCTGTTTCAGCCATCTTTGATAAGAAAAAGCAGTAGCTTAAGAATTAAGCAATCCAAAAACTAGTGATTATGATAGGAGTGGTCATAACTAGAGCAAAAAAATCTTTATTGAGTAATGTCGATCATCTTGGATCACACCAAACAAAACAAATTAGTATTTCAGTTTGCATCTACAAATTAGGAGGAAATTCAAGAAAGTAATTTGCTTTAACCCAATTCTGCTTACGGTAGTGGGAGACGCCAAGGCTTTAACACAGTCTAGCCTTTCACTCTGTGGAACTCCATACTTTTTTAGAAGGCGTACGCAATACTTCAGCGCCGAGAGTCTGACAGCCTGATTAAACCCACCCATGTAGGTGAGGAAGACTGCCAGAGCAATTGCATTTCCGGTCAGCAGAACTATCTCCTGTTTATGATACCTCGAGGTCTCGCTCCATCTCGTAGCCTCACCACTCAGACCGTCAATCAATTGATTTGCCGTGTCCATGCGTCGAATGCAGAGATCCGCCTCGTCCTTTAGCTTCTGCTTCCGCCTCATTGCCACCTCATACTCCGCCTGCACCTTATTCAAGACCACCGCCTTCTCTTCCAACTCCGCTTCTACTTCTATCAATTGGCCCTGTGCCCTCTCCAATAGTTGCTCAGATTTTTTCAGGCTATCCTGTAGAGGGACTACCACCTTACTCACAAAGAAGTACTTCACCATCGCCAGGGTCCACTGAAGCAGACCCGCCACATTACCACAAGTCTTTCGTGCACTCTGTGGGTTGTAGTCTGGCGCGTTTGTGTACGGCTCTATCAGGTCTATCATCTCTTCCGTTAGAATGTGCATTGGATAGTTAATGAGCAAGGTGAGAAAATTCTGGTTTGACAAGAAGCGAATCGATTCTGCCCATGAAGGTGTGAAGAATTGCGGTTTCTCGGGGTCAACTTGTATTGGCACCATAGGCCTATAGAAGAGGATGTTGACGCAGTCCATAATGCGCATGATGAGATTTGGCGGCTTCTGCAACTTGCGAACAGTGGCAATGTCACCGACTTTGATAGTGTTGAGAGCCTCTTCGGCCTCTTTCAGAGCTGGCTGTGCGGCCACTAACTTTTCTTGGGCCTCCTCGCGATCAATCTCCATAGACTGGACTATTCCCTCGCACCGCTGCTTAAGCACTTCGACACGAGACTTGGCGTCAGCAGCGGTCTCTGTCTCCTGAAGGACACGCTGAAGAACCTGTTCGGCGAGGTAGTTTGCTTCTTTTAGGTCCTCTTCAGCCACCGCTAGTTCAGTTTTAAGAAAGGTGATGGACTCTCGTGCCTCCTGCAGTCGCCGAACACCCGTGTCCATTCGATGTGCTATTTCCGTCAGTTCTGCAAACTTTCGACTGTAAATCTACAAGAGCACCAATGTCGAAATCTTTTCTTACCTAGAAATTATTGATAACAACAACCACAACCACATCCAGCTGATCTTCCAATTTACACAAGCTATGGAATTCGTGTAGTATTTTTTCAATAGGGATGGAATAATGTACGGTTTGTAACTGTTTTTCCCTTTTCAATGTTTGCCAAGATCTTGAAAGTTATTGGAATTGGAAAATTTGTCTTCTATACAATTTAAACCACCATCGCTCTGTCATTTAACATTATCAATCTGATCTCTATTTCGGTAATTAAAGCCGAAGTGAAATGTCTGTAAGACACGGATAAGAACAACCAGTGAATGTGAGGTGACTCACAGTCTTACAAGCATGAAGGAAGTGGAAAAACGTCTTAGGCGTAACGCGATTGATGCGTCGAGTGATGCGAGCGTAGCTGGTGCATAAGCGATCGATGTAGAGGTGAATATCAGCGACTACATCGACACAGGCGGCACAGACGCTGGGATTGGTGAGAGTGGGTGCAAGAGCGGAGGGCTCCTGGAGAACGCGTTCCGCACATGCGACGAGGGCGTCGCGTGGCCAGGCATGGAACCAATCGATGGTGCAGCCCGCCACTAGGCCGGGGAATGCGAGAGCTCGCGCTCGTAAACGCTCTCCGATCGGTGAGAAGAGCAAAGCGATGTGCATATGGCGCCGCGCCCGCGAAAGGAAAAAATCGGTAAGCTGGTGCCCTTCGCACGATTGGTGCGGATTCTCCCGACGGTAGATTGTGATTATGCTGTTGCCCGCCTCCTCTAACTCCTCGCGGTTAAAGTATGTCTCTACCTAGGGAGAGAAGATTAATTTCCCTGTCCATTTCACCCAAAGGAGCCTGAAATTTTGCGTGCAGTCTAGACCCTTCACCTATACGTTGATATTTGCCCACTTTCATTAGACTTTATTCATTTACCCTAATGAGTGAAGAGTGCTTCTGGTCACCTTTTACTTACATTCTCTGGACTTAACACAAAGTCTTTTCAATGGAGGTTAAGGTTTTATGGGATCTCGTGAGTTATGGTTTGTCAAATGTCAACGCATTTCTAATGTGAAAACAATTGTTGTTTGATGGCCAAAAAAGTGGGGTCTTAGAGGGCAATAAAACTGGTCTGATTCTGTGGAAATGAGTTTGAAACAGTAAAAGTTTGAAGAATTCTGCCTCTGCAAGTTTCAGTAAAACTGGCCTTTTTAACTGACAAATTTCTTTCTCAATAAGTGAGGAAAAAACTGCGAATCATAAGATCTGAGGCGCCTTTGCAACGCGCCGTAAGACACTACCTTTAGATCCTCAAATGAGGGTTTTAACAAATTATAAGCACTGTAAATGATAATTCGTGTTAACAAGTGATCTACTTGCGCCATCCTAGTTGTTTAGAATTCGTTAAATGCGTCACAAATTGACCCAACTTACCATGCCACCCATAAGAATGTTGTTGATGTGGTCCAAGAAAATCTCATCTTTGACATTTGTGTCATTGAACTGAAACACAATGCCCTTGCCTTCCATCCCGGCTCGTCGATAGATCAGCTTGATATCCTCTAACAAATTCGTCATTGTGTACGCACTACAATGAGAGGCAATAAATGTTTTCCCTGTCTTGACTAAGCCCTAACTTCAGCATTTCGGAGCATAAATAAACCATTCAAGCTATCACAAGAGAAATGCCTTCTGGTGTTGATGGTGAAGAGTCGGTAGCCACAAACATAAGTGGCCAATTTGATGGTGGTAGCCTTGCCACTGCCACCAACTCCAATCATGAGGAGGTTGCCCCGATCGGAGCGGAGTGCACGACAGGCACGGACAATGTGACCGATGATTTGATTAAAGAAGACCACCTTCAGCGGTGCTCCATGGTTCTCTGAGTTCATTGTCTCCAGGTATTGCATTAGGCGCTGCCTCAATGCCTCTATCTCAAACACCTTGAAGACAAAATACTTTTTGTTATCTATAATAGCACTTTATCATAGGGGAAATTACATTAGAGGGGTGCAGACATACTGGTTCGTAATGTTTTGCGGGCACAAGAAGACTTTCACTAGAGCTTTCATCGCTTTTTGACTCATCACTTTCTTCTTCGAGTCTGGAAAAAGGCAAATTTACATAAGTAAGCTGTCGTTAAATCCGCATTGTTAGTACATACAAAATTGTTAAAATAATTTATTTGAAATACGGCCTTAAATTTATTTTTGCCACTGCACAGACAGACACACCTTGTAGCGATGCTATAACCTTAGCTGCCATCGATGACTGGTGTGAAAACTTGTGTATTTTACCAAGTGTCAGTTATGCCTTCATAAATTATGCATATTCAAGGACTGTGACTGTTGCCGGATATTTATCCTTACGCAATACTTGGTTTTTTAACTCTCCCTTATGATTTTGCGGACGGCCAAGGCTCCGCTTCTGCACTTCCGCCAGACTGCACAGCCATTCTTTTCATCGGCAATACATATCTTGCCCTAGTATTATGTCTTCTTTCGTCTTCAGGGAAGGACAACTACTTTAACTTCTATTCTTGAGTGCCAAACTTAGGGGTTACGGGAGAAGGGCATATACCGCGGATAGGTGAATATGTGGCGACCTCTAAAAGAAGGGTTGAAAACGATGTCTACGTCCGACAACTACCCCAGTGCCACGTTCTGTAGGAATGCTATTATCAGCTAAAGTGAAACTAGCTGTGGTCGTAAACCACTTGCATAAGTTCGTCACGGAGCTATCTACGGCACCTATTGTTATGTGATTTGGGCACACGTCGTTATGATAGGTTGGGCTATTATAACCAGTCCTAGAATGGACATAGTTTAAAAGACTACATTAAGATAACCTTAAATTTGTCTGTACTTATCTGGCTTTGACTTAGAGCCTTCAGAAAAGCTCCAGTGCCTACCGCATGAAGTCGCAGAACGAGACTTTTTGAGTCAGAACGGAATTCATGCCCTCTCCAAAAAAACCGATTGTTTGCTGATGCAGATTGTCAGTGAACCATGATTTGTCCTCTGCACTAGTCAATTTATCTGATAGCACACGTGTGAGCTCGTTTCTCCACAGGAGGATCAAGTATTCGCGAGTCTGGAATACCTGCTCAAGAAATCACAAAAAACGAATAATTTTCGTTCATCTACTCAAATGGCTTATAAGTAGACAAGCGCACTTCGCTTGTAGCAAAGGTGATGCCTCTCCATATGCGGCTGAGATCGCGTAGATTGAAGATGTAATGGAAGTTCCGTGGAGTTGGGAGCATCTTAGCTTTGACAGAAGCCCAAATGCGTCGGGTAAGTGGGACAAGGGTGATAGCCAGCTCTTGAACTTCCCTGGTGAAACCACGGTCCATAGAGAAGTGCCCTACTGCGATTGTAGTAAAGATGGTGTCTATTGAAGCGTCGCTGGGTAGACTGCAGTTAAACAAGCAGAACTGACGCTTTAGACGCATAGGAATGTCATTTCGACCGCCACCGGGAGTTACCATCGCGGCTGTGAACTTAAGTTGAGAGGATAATGTCACGATAGTAAAATCATGATCGTTTTTAATTGCTTCACCGCAATAAATTGTGGAACCTTGACAAAAGTTTTAATCTTACCCAAATTGAACATAAATTAAATGAGTGTGAGGGGTTTTTGGTCCTTTTGTGGTAAATAATTGGAAAATCGGTATTCTCCATGAGCTGCTCCAATTAAAACGGAGGAGAAATAACAGGCACTTATGTGGGCGGTTAACAGAAACGGCGATTTTATCGTGGGCAAAATAATGCGTGAAGGCATAGCACGCAACAGTTTATTAAACAGACAGCACTATCCTGGAACAGACATCAATTTTGGGTTCCTGAAGGTGGCAATATAACTTTCACTTACCAAGTGACAGCCCGAGGGTCCTGATGCATCTTTTATTTCCCTTATAGAGACACCAAAATCACTTACAAGGATTAGCCATGAACAGTTTTAGTAATTTATTCGGTTTGTCAAAGTCACCTGCTATGAACAGGTAATTGGGACCTGATGTTTTTAGAAGCAAAAATATATTATTGCCAACAATTATAATCAAACCGACAAAAAATGACGTGGGAATTTTAGTCTGCATTACCCTATTCTTACCACTGCTTACGCCTCTAAAAATGAAAAGGTAATTATACTGTTGTCCAGCAAAAATGAACGGTAAAAGAAGCGATTTCACCTCACCTGCACATCCACAATGGTGATGAATTCACCGGGTTTGCGGAGGCTGTAGAAACCGCCACACTCCATGGTCTGCCTCACGATTTCATTGGCCACCTGATCACCCCACTCGTTCACCACGGGCATACTGATGTCATCAATAAATATGGTTAGTTTTTTGCCCAGTGGAGGGCCGAAGGTGAATCCCACTCTCTTGTCCACGAAGGTTTCCATGGAGGTCTAAGGAAGGTGATGCGCTACATTGACTAGACTCGCCTCGACAATATTCGAGGTTCTATGGACAAATGCACCAAAACACAAATATAAGGATTTGAAATTTCTTAACCACTTTTTGGTCTTCTAACCTGAAAGGAGAAAGGGGTGGTGGCAGACGAGAAGTTGCAGTTTCTGGCAATATCTGTGTCTTCGCTGAATGATTGCATATACTTGTTGATGATGGCCGTCTTAGCTGTGCCCGGTTCACCGAAGAGTAGGACAGAACGGCCTGTCTTACAAACATTTTGAACCAGGAACTCGGTAATCACATTATCCTGATTCGGCACTAGCACTCGCTCAAACTCCACGTATCCCCGTTTGGGATAGTCGTAACTCGGCACTGACGATCCCCAGTAGTCCCAACGCCCTACAACAGGTTTCCATTCTCGTAGGCCGCCTCATACCTAAAAGCTGCTTTTAAATTTGCAATGCTTATTCATATTTGCTAGTACAAGTTATTAGTTCTAACTTACAAATTTTCTCAGCTATTTTTATTAACTTTTGTTAAATTGGATAATTCTAATAAGAATTGCTAGCCCATGAATCTAATCCCACTTCAGACGAAACATGAAGAGGTTTCATAATAATGTGACACCTAACATGAGCATTTAATTGGCAGTAATGCAACTCATATTCTATTGTACACCACTCTGCATTGACTCACCATGTTGGTGATCAACCCTGTAGTCAAAGATAGTGACCGCTTTGCCTCGAATTGTTGGAGGTGGCATGAATAATCTTCCGAACACCTCAGTGTTCCGTAAGTGTTCGTCAAATTTCGCTCGATCTGATCTTTCCAACAGAGCGCCAAAAGACCACGTAAGAGCAAAGAGAAAGTACATTTCTAGAAGCATCGGCTCCGAAGCCTCAGGGGTGGAGACAGCGTCAAAGATGGTACGAAATTGGGCTACGTAAAACGCCTCTAGGAAGGGCATATTCACCTGAACTTCCCGTGTGACGAATTTGATTATTGGTGGGAGAATAGCGGTAGCCAGTTCTGTGAGCCTTGCTCTCTGGGGTTTGAGGCGCGAGTTAATCCAAGTCTACAAAACACGCAGGAGGGATATGACCTTATTTTATCTGAGATACCCTCATTACTATGCCGGTCTGCTATCGGTAATAAACCAGATATAGTTGGCCTACCTACCTTGATTAATGGTTCCCAGTTTATAGTAGACGAGCTGATGAAGACCATTCCATTGCGTGAAATGGTAGAAGGCGACGCGTTATCCACATTGTCCACCTCAAATAGAATTTTACACCTGGGTGCCATAGGAATACGATCTCCATTAGCGAGAGTGAGAGTCATGTTATCGTCCAACACAGAGTTTAGATTCTCAATCCAAATCGCGTCTACAGGGCCATCAAGTACGAGCCAGCAGTGCTCCTTTGGCTTCATTCGCGTAGTCCGTCGCCACAAGGTGGAGAAGATGCCATCAGTCCAGTCGTTAGTTGCAACGTCCAAGCGCCCAAACATTTGCGAGGTTGTAATGGCCTTGGGATTCATACGGACCTCGCGTCTCACCTCGTCCACCTCGGAAAGAGTCCTCAACAGCACCTCCACACACTTCGTCTTGCCCGAGCCGGAGGGGCCCAAAATCATCAGCCCGTGACGCACCTTCTGTGTTTCGTAAAGCTGGAATATTTTCAACGGTAAACCCATCAAATATGCATCAGACTCTCATTTCAAAAATGACTTTGGTACATTCGTACTTCATAAACCCAGTCTGCTTACTGACGTAGACTGGTGTTAATTGCCAGAAGGGCATCAAAACATTTGACACTTAAGAGCGTCAGATTACCATTTAGCCGAATGATCATCGATGACAAATTCTGTGGTCTCCATAAAATCAAGGCTTGTTTTTAAGCTAATTTGGAACCAATAGAACCAACAGTAGATCACTGGGTTGTGCTCGCTTCTCTTCAGAATTGCCCTTCTATTTCCGAAAATTAAGACCAGAAATTATCATATACCACACTTTACTAAAAAAAGGGAAAGTTTGGCGAGATGTATTTTTCAAATTTACTTATACTATTGGAATGTGTTTCCTAAAAACTTGAGACCGTGGAAAAAGCTTGAAACTCTTTTAAGTAAGTACCGTAAATTTTTAGGCAATCGCCATCTCGTTGTCCAAATCATTGACAAATGTACACAATTTATTCGAGGGAAAGGTAGAAGTCTCTGAGAAACTACGTCAGGTGACTGTGGAGGAGGTGGAAACAAGTCAATTAAAACCTCAAAGAATAAGTTAATGTAATTTTGAGGCCATTGGCTACCACCAGCAATTAAATACACCTTTTCAAGCAAGCAGAACCTCTTATAACCTTTACCATCATTGCTAGATTAAGTTGAACAACGCGGTGAAAATCTGACGATTTTACCATCGATTAAGTAAAGCGTTATTTCTTTTTAAAATCTGCCCATTTGTTAAGTGAAATAAAAGCGAGTGGATTGTTAGCTGTGATGGTAAATGTTTTATTGCACTGAACGTCTTTAAAGCAATTGCTATTTTTTTCTGTAGAACAACAGTGCAAATTTGACTACCCTAAAGACCAGTGCTGAATTCTAGTCGATAATAAATTGGGGTCTCATCGTGCATTTGCTAAGATTTTAATGGGGAAAATTGTTTTCCTTCCCTATTTTTGGATACTGGGTGGAGCATCATTCTCAATACTGATTTAAATGTTGTTTCTCTTAAGATCTTCTAACTCATCTAATCTCCATCGTGCGTGTGATGCCTCTTGTCTATCAACGTTTGGATGCTGTCGGGATCATAATTTTTCGTCATACCTATTCCACTCAAAATTTGGCAGTACTTGTGAACTACCTGCAACACCTTGAGAACCCAAGGCCTGTGAGCGATGAGATTCATTTCCTCTGCATTATGTTCCAGAGTCTCGCCAATCTCAGGATCCTTACGACTGCGTCCGAGATTCACACCGGGGAAGAGGTCCCGTAGAATAGAAAGAAAGAGAGCCTCATCTTGATCTACCAACTTGGAAAGGTTCATGTCTCTCAGTACCCTCATGACGATCTTATTCTCTCCTTCCTCTGGACTGCTTCGTCGAACTGCACCGAGGGTTCGCAGTACTGAAAGGATGTTCCGGAGTCCAAAGTCGTAGTGAACCTTGGCAAGACACACAAAGAAGTTAGGATATGTCCTTCCAGTTGTTTACATGGTTTGCAGGTGTCATGATGTCTTTGTGTGCCTATATGCAGTCCTCTTAGACGCACACGATTACATCTATATTCCTTCTACCACTTAAGACCGTTTTGTATAACACATTTTGAGCACCCAGAATTCCTATATTTCCGCTGTTTTCTTACACGCTTGGTGATAACTTAGGGGCCAAAAAGCCTTCCCATTGTCTATCACTGACGATAATGCATACCAGAGCTGACAATTACTACCCACTTTGTAGAGGGGGGACTACGCGCCTGTATTACTTAATCACATTGCGATGGAGTTACTTTTGACCCTGGCATCATCTGAGGCAACTCCGGATTTGTCCATATAGAAATCACTATAATGTACCGATCTTGACGGGTTGACGAGTTAGAGGTTGATTATACGATACCTGGTTGCTGAGCTGCTCTTCGCACAGATTGTAGAGGTTGAAAAACTTTTTGGCAAGAGTGAGGTTGTCAATGAAACCACATGAGGCCATTCTAACGCGAATGATAATGAGTCGATCTGGCACCATCATCGCCACTGTGCGGAAGTTCATCTTTAAATTCTCCGGCAGCTCCTGTCGACCAGCGTAGCCAGGATTCTTGGGAAAAAATATGCATTGAAAGTTCGGCATTTCACTAACTTTTGGTCACAAAAGAATTAAGATATTTTGAGTTGATTAAATACGAGTAATAACTCACCATAGTGATAAAGATCCCGAATTCGGCATTCAACGTAATCAAATCTCCATCTGGAAAGACAAAATCATCCTTCTGATCGCGTTTGGCGAAGAGCACGATGGCTATCTGTTGAGCTGCCACCGAGAGGACAGGAAGTTCAATGCGGTTGAACTCGTCGAAGCATCCCCAAGCACCAGATTGAGCAAGTCCCTTAAAAAGGCGTCCCAGACCACGAAAATCCATCTGATCAGAGCAGTTGAAAACCACGACGTATTGGCCCAGGCATCGGCCCATGTCCTGCACCAAATACTTTGCAAATAAACTATTGCAAAAAATCCTAGGTAGCACTTGTAACTGAAAAAACAGTCCGCTTAAAAGCACGAAAAATTTGATTGAAAAAAACTTAATTCATGGCAGATTTTCATCGCAAAAGAGTGCGAAGTAGGGAAAATTTTTCACAACGTCGTAGCTGCAGCCACCATTCACTTTCATAATTAAAGCATTTCAACCCTTCCTTGGGTTCCAGTCTTGTTCTATTTACAGTTCTATTCCAACTTCTACGATCATGATAATTAAGGCGATCCGCATCTCCCGTGCTCTTCCAGCGATGACCAAACGTATCTAAGGCTTTTAGTAATACTCTCCATCTACCAATCGTTTCTAGCATCCATTTCTTCCATTTCTTCTTAATAAGATTAGTAAAACCATCTGCATGGTTCCTGATGCTGAAGAATGAAACCGTGCCTTCACAGTCTCAGTCTTTCCTGTTCCAGCCGGTCCAGCCGGTGCTCCACCGTAGCACATGTTGAGCGCCTGTGCGAGAGTGATGTAACAGCGATCGGTGAGCGGTGTGATAACCAGACGCTCTGTACAACCGAGGAACTCATACTGATACTCAAAGTTCACGTTGGTAATAGAGACAACACACATAGTGGTCTCATCCATAAAGTAGACTCGCGTCTGCTTAAGCCAATCAAAATCGTCCGGGGAGTGAATGCTCTGCTGAACCTGCAAAGTGGAAATGCACAACGTGATTCCACTCTAGAACCGCATGTCTTCAATTCAATATGCATGTTTAGTTAAACATCAGAAAACTTAAATTCAGATGTGGTGTTTTAACCGGTGGAGCACATAAAGTAATCATAAATAAGGTATAAGGAGGGGTTAAATCAAACTGAGTCCTACTATATCAACAGTGCGCGTAAAATGAGGATGCCATGGCAATCACGCAATAGTAAGCGGCAACTATTCCTAACAACTACTAGCTTGTTAATTGCTATGCACCGGCTCAGACATTCTTAATCAAGGTGAGATGGTAGGCAACAGTGCTAGTAGGTACGTGGATGCATTAGCACGTAGTGATAAATGAAGTAGCTTGTAAGCAAGAATCAGGGCTTCAAAACTCGGATACACAGATATCTCCTTGTACTAACAAAGATCTCGAGCATACCACTAAGATGGTGGAATGCTCAGCTTCTCAACAGTAAGACATTTGAATAGTATAAGCATTTCAAATGAGGTAGTAGATGGTGATCCTGACAGTGGTGGCTCCAAACGCATAGCAGCCAATCTTCTGAACAACTAGCTTGCGGAACGCCTAATCCAGCACGCCCAAGCATAAAATACTCTGTCGTGCGTGGAAATTGCGTACAAAACTAATCCTTCTGTGGGAATGGTGAACAAAACCCAATCAAGCGAGAATATTTGCGATTTCAGACAGTGTGGGTGAGTAGAATATCAAGACAGCCAGGATGCCCTGGGATATTCCAAAAGACCTGGACAAGCTGACAATATCTGCTTTGTGGGTATTTGTTCACTGTGATGCACCTCTCAATACGTATTTTTCCTACCTTCGGTGCTACTTTAGCGGAGCCTCCTAGCAATTTACAGTGGAAGTCGCGATTTAACAGACAGAAAGGACGATATCAAGGCAGAAGTCTAAGTCTGGAATAGACGTGAAACTTAGAAGAAATCTCATGAAATTCGTAGTATTTCAAAAGCAGGACAATTAGTGTTACCATCGAGTAAGCATTTCTTTATTAGAACCTACAATATCATCAAACACGTCTTTCTGATGAAGGTGTATGGTGATTAGCGTTTCATATTTCGTCCGTTCTCGTGGGCTCAAATTCGCGGTGGTTCTACTGATAAGCATTTCTAAGAGAGTTGTGAACCTCTGGCTAATATCTGTCATAATCTTGGGATTCTCCCTCGACTCGTTCAGGGCCATAGTGGCGTCCTGGGTCCACACCATTTGGATGGACAGGATAGCCATCTGACAGATCTGTTCATTGAGAATTTGCTGAAGGTTGAGCTCCACGTCCATCAACCGAACGTGGGCCATGCGAATGCGATCGAGGAGAGAATACTTCACTGTCATGAGAAGTCGCATCAGCCACATTTCCACAGGACCCTCACACCGTAGTTGTGGATTCAACTGTAGTTTAAAAGCAGTATGCGAAAGCACTAAGGATCTCATAGTCTAACGCTTACTTTTGCTAGTGATGTGCAGAAGCCGCACTAGCCTTATTTACTTCAGCCTTATCTAGTGTTGACTAAAGTTAAGGACTCCCACTAAGCCTGATGTCCATACAATCATCTTTTTTAACATTACTTTCGATGTCGATGAAGGGTAAAAGTCAAAAGGCTTTTCACTCGAGCCTACAGTCAGTTCCTCATTGAGAGCCGAATACGCAGCCGAAATCCATGCGCTCTCCTCAGCGAAATGCAAATGATGAATGCTGTCAAAGATTGCGAGTAGATGGGGCTGAATGGCCTCCGGAGTAGAGGCTTGACCAAGAATCTCTAGCAGCACTGGATCAGAGACGAAAAAGAAGCGTGGAAATAGGAGCCTCTTGCTCTCCAAATAACCCGAAAGTGAGCGTTGACAAATTTCCAACTGCTCAAGCATTCGTGGGAGGAGTTCCAATAAAGTGGTATCAGAGGTGCAGCAGACGACCACCGAGGGCGTCTCACGGGCTCGGTCAATGATCTTGACCCAAGACTTGTCTACCGTCAAGAAGCGTCGCGCCTCCTTTGGCAGCTGCCTCCCGATGTCTCCACCAACGAACACGGCTTCGAGATAGACCCACAGGGACTGTACCTTCACCCAGTAGTCTAGCACTTCGTTAACTGTTGTTAAATTATTCACCCACTTTGCAATCTGGTCCTTGAAGGGTTTGTTGAACCTATAATAATATCATCCCTGTCATGTCAAAACAGTTTGGGAAATCTGATGTTTTACAGTGTAAAACCACTGACATCACCCATTACTTGGGTAGGATCTTATAAAATGGTGAAATTGACCGAGATATATACTGCAGTCATACTCGATAACACTGAAGTCGCTCACTAACGAAAGACTTTAGTAACTGGTGCCAACTTGCCTACTGTTGGAGAGGGATGTGAGTGTCATTAGGGAGTCCTCCAAAAGGCTTTGAATCTCCGCAATTCGACTTCCCTTGAATAAAAGCTCTCCTCGATTCTTGAAAGTGGTTAAAATGAACTCCTGCTCCTCCCAGTCCTGAGCAACGCGTTGCAATTTCACTTCAATCTCTTTCTCCCGTGTTGCACCCATGCAGACGTCCTCCACGGCCACACGCTTAGCACCATCGCCCGGTCCAATGGGCAAATCAATGATGACCTTAGCTGAGAGCATGCTATCTGCCTCTGGGTCGATGTTCGGCTGGCCTGTAATCTGACTGATTACGGCCCAGTGACGCGACTTCACAGCAGGATTACGGAACATCTGCAGTATCGGCATTTTGCCCACCAAGGTCGAGAGCGTGGTCTCCAAATCAGAGTAAAGAGTTGAAGATTTGAGCACTGATGGCAGCTTGAGACACCTAGAGATGCAAAAACTAAATGTAGACCTTTCCGATTCAAACGGTAAATCTAAAAATGGTTATCTCTCAAATCTTAAGCATAAATAACTCGACTTATATGCACTTAGATTAGCACACCACGGGGGAACACAGTGAGGTTGTAGGAATGGGAATTAGGACAGATTTACCTAGTTTGCAACGCAAGAAGCTCGTATTCAATCTCCTGAAAATTGGCCTCTCTCCAGGGTGTCTCGCGAACCTGATTAACTACACTGTACACGTCACTGTAGAGGCTATAGAGGCGTTGTAGCATCTCCATCTGCTTTCCCACCGCCCGAAGGTTGGCCAGACTCATCTCTGGCAGACCGAAGAGACGCTGGCCCCGCAGTATCTCCTCCGCCTTCATCATCAATCGCTCATAGTTGTTGCGGAAAATCACTTGACGGTCCATTGCCTCAGTCTGCGAGATGTTTGGTTCCCTGGGTCCTTTCTATGGAAGGGAGAAATAGGTATGGCGATATTCCGTGCACAAGCTGAATTTTGTAAATGATTGGGAACACGACATCACTCTTCCGTTTCTTCCTTGTGTGGATTGAGTCAGGCTTTTCCCAATGCGGTAATTACTGGTCCCGAAATCATGTCCATTCTGGCGTGTTTTATCTCCCTTCTATTTGTATTTTTATATGTTGGCCTTAGAATTGGTGGCTTTGATCGCGCAGGAGTTCGGAAGAGTGCTTTTATTGAGAAACGAATGATAACGCGGCCACCAAGTGGTTAATTTTCTCAAGGACTCAACACCGTGGAAATTACCAAGTCCTAACCAATGATACTTGTCCTTCCGCCCACTTACAATAAACCTGACTTTAAACCACTGTCTTATTCTGTATTTAAAGATAAATTTGACCTCAAAAGTACATAGTAATCGGTACTGCTCACTTGGTTGAAAGCTTCAATGAAGTCATCGATTTCGTCCTTCATCACGATGGCCCTCTGCCGCAGATCCTCCCGATACTTGCTTTCTACAGTCAGCAACTCGTTCATCGCCTTGCCTAAGCGATCCTTGACGCGGTAGAAGATCCATCGGACTGCTTCGATGCGATCTACTATCTCCATTGATAGTGGTGCCTGATACTTGCCCAGGATTTGCTGTGCTTCCTTGAGATCGAAAATAAGATATGTCAGCTCTTGTGTAAGCTTAACTGACAGCAAGAGTTATCCATTGGTATTAATCAGTAGCATGTGGAGCAATAACCTTAAATGTAGGAAGCGGGGAATTTTGCCCTTGAACCTTAATGAATGGCAACTATTAGGTCGAAGAGGAGGGCGTATTCTGTGGCCGGGAAATTTACACCTATTTGTAGCTATAACAAATCACATTTACATATCATCCGCCTCTACACCCGTCTACAACCACTGTTTATAAAATATTTTCGAATAAATTACAGTTACTTTTCTTGAAAGGTCATTACTTTATCGGTGATGTGTAATATCTTCCATTTTCTGCTATTAAAAACCCACTATTAAGTACCCCATCAAATGCAGTTTTTTACAAGTTTATAAATTAGTTACCCATACCTCAGCCACCATGATCCTCATTTCCACCGCAATTTCAATGTCTCTAAAGCTAGAAATTGCTTCCATCACAGTGCTAATGTCAGCGATGGTTTTAGGTGGCTTTGAAATGATACGATCAGTTGCTTCGATTTGAGCCATATCCGCAAAGACCGGGTAGATTAATCGTTCAACACAGAGATCCACAAAGACTTGCTGATGCTCCTTCAGCCGACGCAGTGCCAGATACTTAAAACCGTTTGTGTGAATCTCCAGTGGTCCAATGTAGTAAATGTCATAAAGATTAATTAAGCTCTTTTCCACCTCATAGAGCTTCGCGAAGACCTCCTCTAACTCTGCTATCGTCGGCATACTGTGCTCGTTGAGAAACTCCTGAAGGCGCTCTAAAGGCGAAGTGGTCCAAAGGTAGAGGAAGTCCTGAAAGGGGCTTATGACTGACTCCAGTTCCAGTATTTGACCTAGAAACATGAGAATATTATTTTGAAGGTCAGACAGTTAGTAAATCAAACGATTGCTATAGCCTTTCGATGGATGAAATCATACTTTGTTAAATGCTTAAAGGGATATGTTGATTCTCTTAATTATTAACTTAGATCGCACTGAAAGTGCAACATACCTCCGGGAAGAAAGTTGACTTTTTTCGTCGAGTTGATCCAGGTAAGAAGAAGAGATTGCAGTTTGTAAATCTCTTTGTCATGACGAACGTCAGTGTAGCAATTTACATCCTGTTCATTCGTCTGTACTGAGCTGCCATGGACAGCACTTAACCGGCCTACCACAAGAGGAGGATATTGCATTATTTAAATTCATTTCATTTTATGCACCTAAAAGGAGTTTTCTGGCCAAGTCAAAGCTGTAATTTCGCTTCTCCCGCGACGCTTCTACTCGACACAGAAGTAGCAGGCCACTCCAAACACCTCTAGCCATTGATGAGATAGCAAACATGTGATGGTAAATAAGGACTTGCGAACGATAACAAAGGCACAAAACCCAAATCCGCGGGAATCAGCCAATATCCACAGGCGCCTTAGGTCACTCTAAGCTGATGGAGCGCAATGCTACGGTGCGAGCCGCAAACGGCTTAAGGGTGGCAAAGGCGGCTGAACGCATGCCACTGATGATTCTCGCTATGGCCATGCCTATCCTTAATTAGGCGGTCATGCAGCCATTTAGCTAGTGCAATGCCTGATCTTGGAAAATTGACCCACAATCCATTGTGTGATGAAATTACACAGGAGGTGAAACTTCTGTAAAAATTGTGGACGCAAAACTATGGTACATTAGGGCTTGCGATTTCAAAAGTTAGTACATCGTCCAAAGACGATGGCTCAACCTACTAACAAATTTTCCGGGTATTAGCTACCTGATGATGCAGGAAAGTATGTAGTAAACAAAAGCTAAGTATCCCAATTTGACCAGAACGCCCCCCTTACTAAAACTCACATACCTCCGTATAGACTGCGAGAGGAGGCCTAAAATTTGAAAAAATTGGACACTACTGCTCAGTAGTAGTAAGTTTACTAATAAAGTAGATAAATGACACCACCAACCCTTATAGGCGACCGATCGCTAAGTGTACGTGGACTGACAGTGGTATTGGGAGATGCTTGGGTCCCACTGAAACGAAGGGAATTCCTGGAACCGCGATCACGGATACCACTCGCTTCAGTAAACGACGTAAACTCATTTGCCGTTTCTACATGAGTGGCCCCTGCTTTCTTTTTTTATTCTAATCGGAAAAAAGACGACATATAATGGTGATTATGGATTTCTCAGAAAAGGGGATTAGAAGTGTGCTTACACCAATCTTAGCTAATACTGAATTTCTTGCTCTACCAACTTCTGACCACTTTCCAATATTCTTTGTTGAAGAAAGGATAGCCTTTATGCAATTTTTCAAACCGGCTTGGATTTCTTCGAGGGAAGGCCTTAGGTTGAGATGGTCCCCTTGTAGCACCACCTCACATCGCACGGTAGCTGTCGGCTTGAGGTGGCCTAATTACGAGAAAAACCAGAAATCCTTACTTATAGTGTTTTTACTTGTCGTGGATGAGTAGAAATGCGCAATGACAACTCACCTGCTCGTGTTTTAGTACCCATTTCGACGTCTTTCAATAGGCCAAGACACTCTCTACTACCAAAAATGCGCCACAAGTCGTCCAGAGATCCTCGCACCGACTTTATCACTGCCTCTACTGCAAACTGTCCGAAATTGCGAATCATTTCGTCAACTGCGCTTGCAGTCTGCATGATAATCTTCTTCGCTTCCTGCTGCATGCTAGTTCCGTTGTCGTCTTCCTTGGCATCAATTGTGGAAGGAGAGGTGAAGTGACTTTCTGAAGCCTCTTCTAAAAAATTCAGATTGAATAAATACTGTTCTTTTTTCTTTTTACACATGTGATAACCAATATATATTAGTGGCGCCAGACTCTGATAAGAAGTGGAGACATCACGTACTTGCCACGTTGGCAGTGTACACGTCAAACTATATAGCTCACCAGCATAAACACTTAAACTAATCTCCGGTCCTTCTTTGCGATAACGTTCCCCAAATAGCTTTACAAACGCATCAAAATCTGCCAACGCCGTTGTGGCGTAGGCCTCAGCCGCCTCAAAGACAATTTGCGAGAGCTGCTGGAGCAACGCAGCGGCGTTATTCGCCTGTTCGACAGTGGTCCGGATGAACTCGCCCAAACTCCACCCCACACCCGGCTCCCGGCGACTCTGCAGATGAAATCCGACCGAGGCGGAGGCTCTGGCGGAAACAGAAGAGGCACTGCTCGAAGTGACACCAGCAGAAGTGACAGCGGAGGTGATGGTAGAAGAGGCAATAGTGAGAACCGTTGGATTCCCCCGTCCACTAGGCAGCTCGTAGGGGTGCGTCCCTGGCTGGTCAGGAAATCGGACGAATTTGCATCGGCCCATCGCAGCCAAAGTTGGCTCAATTCGGTAGTCCAATATATCCTGCGCACCTTTCACCGTCCTCTCGAGGCCGCGTATAACGGACTCACAGTTCTACGCGCGTAAAAGTGACATAAATACCCAGTTGTTTCCTGTTCTATAAAATTGTTAGCAAGGCAATGAATCAACAAAATGTGATGGCAAGAACAATGCTCAACCTGGGTCCGTACTCGTTATTTTGGCACCGCTTGGGTATTTGTCTCACCACGTAGCTTTGAGTTCAGTTTGAATAGTTTTAGTTTCAGCTACTATGCACAGCTTTTTAGTCTTTTCCTCTGTTACTGAATTGGGTGTGCTGGCTTACGACAGTCAAAACATTTGCTATTTTCGCTTTCGCTTTTCTACTGACCACAAGACATGCGCAATCGGCTATTGGCAGTCCCCCAAATTCCGTTATGAGACATTCCTTTCCTCACTACCTTTCCCATGGGCCCGAATCCACACTACTTGCCCATCAAATGCGGTAAAGGTGGTCAGCGATTTGAAATTTTTCCACATAGGAGGCATCAAAATTGGAGGTAGGTGAAAGTACTGCCCCTCTATGGTTTTTCGTCGAATGTTACCGAAAGTGGCGCAATGATACATGTACAAGGTACAAAGCGCAAGGCTTTTACTGGCATCAGAAGGAAAAGCAAAAGCGTCCATCACTTGTTACCAGCATTGGGCACAATATATCCACCATCACATCCACTGAAAACATTTACTGAATGTAATCTGCAATGTGAATTTGAAGCACTAATGCGGTTTAACAATGATATATGAATAAAGATGTCACTCAAATCTGAAGAATCTGGAAGCATTTAATCAATCCAAGTGAATCTAATTCCAAGGACTCTTTAGCATTCCACCTATTATTTAGAATGGCTGTGAATGCCGGTTTGCTGACTTTGGTGTGATCCGACCTCTAAGATGCCTTTTTTAAGTGAAGACGACAATGAATGCAAATTTCCTGATGGTTTGTCTGGGAAAACTTGCCTGATCCCATGTGTATGGAAGATGACTATACGATCAATTTGTGGTAACGGTTCGACTTCGCGTTAGATAATAGTACGAAGGAAAATACAGTTGCTAATTTCGGTCTTGCAAACTAACCAGCACCGCTTAGCCCCACTTGACCGACGTATTGAACTAGGGTCAATAATGAATGTAGGAAAGCCTTCATCTGAAGATTCTTTGCTTCGACATCTCAATTCTATAAATAGGTGGGTACGCTACTTAGGTGTCGAAAGCTCAAACGAATACCAAATAGATCAATTTTGCGGTTGATCATCACCAAATTTGACTTGCAGCGAGAGGTCGTTAACAATTACTTCATCCAGTGATTGAGTAAGGCCTCACGAGATATCACCGACAACCACATCTCTCTGTTTTAAAGACTATAAAGTACTAATAATAGTGTTCATCGTTACTTATCATCCTACACAGCATTTTGCTGTACTATAAGCGGTACTTGAGAGACTTGATAATTCGAATTATACGCACCGCAATCCACTTGTCAAAGAGCGAGCTATACCAGTCATGTATGTAGAGTCCCGGTGCCAGAGCCTCATTTATACGGTGGATGCGAACCACAAAGAGCTTCTCCAAGTTTGGGGGAATCATTTGCTCCACACGGTTCTTGTAACGAAGCATATTCTACAAAATTGGCAAACACTTTTTGTTATGAAAAGTTTTTATTCTATTCTCTTCCTTTATTTTTGTGCATTGAAAGATAAAAGCATATTGTATAAGGCATCAAGCATTGCTTGATGGAGAAAGTTTCATTCTTAATAACTAATTGTAAATTAGTCTCTGCGTTGTCTGCTGGTGTCTTTTAAACAGTGATCCTCAGGGAGTATTTTTGGTTGAACAAATGTTTTGTTGAAAGTACCTGAACTTTATCCAGGCGCTTTTTGAGGAAGAGGGCTCGTCTGTGCAGTTCCTCGCCTAATGTTGGAATTGGACATCCCAGGTGATCAAGACAAGTTATTTCCCGCAGTAGCATGCGGATATTCTCATCAAAGTTGGCCATATAAGTAACTTGGGTAGATGTCTTTTGTACGGTTAGAATTGAGGCGTGAAGGCCGGAGAGTTGACCTAAGATCTAGTTGTAAAAATGAACACGTTTACCTGACAATTTGTTACCTTTGCTTTAAAAAATGGCACCACTAGCAGAATGAATTACTAATAAAGTTAGTAAAGAGATATCACTAGTGAAAGTCCAGTTCGGTCCAAGTGGCTATCACAAATGGACTGCATAAAACTGTAAGTCATTAAAAGCGATGAATTGATTGGTTGATTGATCGATTCTATAAACCACAAATCGGACAACTTGCTCTAAAAAATGGTAAGAAAAAACCTCCTACGTGGCATCAAACCTGGTCATACTTCTAAAACTTCAAAATTTTGGCGGCAAATTAACCTCCATAAGATTTCGCTCATATCCACCGGACTTTGCAGTTCTATCATGACCTACGAGGCTTCACCTTAAGTTATGAAGAATAAGTAGAACCACAAAGACATAAACTTAGCACACCTCACATAAAAACACCTGAACATTTTACTCTTTCTAAAGACTGGAGTTAAAAGGTGGGTGTATTTTTCTCGGATTGACGCATCACTAAACAAACACTCTATAGTGAAGAACAGAGTGGAATCGAAGACTTGCGGATTTTTTCCAGGCCTGAAAGACAGTAATTTCGTAGGCGACAAGAGCTTCACTGATACGATTAAACTGACGGATCGTTCGCTGACCCTCTCGCGAATTGCAGACGGAGGGAGACTGACTATAGAGCAATAACATCGGTTCCGCCATTCGAAGGTAGTAGTTGCGCGCCCATGCAATTCGACCTAGATTAATGATATTCACAATTTAGAATTCGGGAGTCGCTTGCAGCAGTACCTCAGGTAAGGTATATTGTTATTCTTTAAAACAACAGAAGGCACGTTTTTTATCTTCCTACGTTTCTGCTACCATGCTTACATCAGAACGTTCTATTCAGTACCACTATTCCTCTAGTTTCCCAACACTTTCCGTAGACTTCATAATGAGGTTATATCCAGAACTATCCGCCTTATGACGTCGTTAGGAGCAACTCCAGTGCTATATTGGTGGGACCGGTAAGTAAACTAACGGACCCCACCAAATCTACAATCAGTTTCAGTTTTATCTGCTAGGAATGTCTTTTCTCCTGTAGGATCTTCATTTCCAACTTGTGGCCCGGGGCTGGTGGCTGACTGCCCGGCGCCAGCCAAGGCAGACGAGTAAGCATTGGGAGCACCGAAGCCGAAGCTCCAAAGAAGAGCAAGACCATTCCATTCAGTCACTATTCACCCACGCTAACAGTCAGCTCATCCCTCCCAACGTTTACAATAAATTTTTATTAAAAATTGCATGCCTTAAAAGTTATTCAGGGGTCACTCAGAGGGTACACGAAAGTAAAGTCTTCTCAAATTAAGGCTCTAAGATAGAAGAGAGGCCAGAATTTGAAGATTGTTGTAAGTGAGCTCCAATTGTTTGAGCTCTTTAAGACAAGTAAAACCTGAAATAATTACCTGAGTAAGGAGGGAAGTTGCGTTGAATTGGAGGGCTGTCGGCATCGCGGGTGTAAATATCGCTAATCTCATCAAACTCAGACCGTAACTGGGTAATCAGCCGTCTATATCGACTCTCCTGCTCCAGAATAGGCAATTGAGCGCGCTTTAACTTTGACGCTTGCCGCAAATTCAGGAGAACTGTTGGGCTGTGATTGCACTGAGCATTATAGGCAGCTTGAAGGTTTTCCTGAAGAATCTTCATCTCTGAACCGAACTGTTCAAAGTCCTCGACGAATTGTGTATTCTCCAGATCGAGAAAATCGTAGCTCCTACTAGTGATGAAGTCGTAGATTTTCTCAAAGTGCTCCACCAATTTGCCTCTCCCATCAAAGGGAACGTTCCTAAGAACAGCAAATTTTTTGATACTCTCGATAATGTGTAGAATGGCTTCCACGCGTGCGACAAACGCGTTGAAGTCTCCAAAGATTTGAGCCTCGGAGAACTTCATAACCTTTTGGTCGTCTCGCGTATTCTTCTGCACCTTGTAATAGGCATTCTGGTAGGCTTTTTTTAACTCGATGCAGTCTTTCAGACGCTCAGTCAGTTGATCCAGGTCCTGACTCCACATGGGGCCTCGACTGGAGTCTACTATGTATCCTCGGCAACTGATTATCATCTGATTCGTTATCTTCAGTAAAGTAAAATAAGCCTGTCTATACAATCATGATTTTTATTTAAATAACGCACAACCAATTACTTTATCTCACCTACTTCTACTTGGCCAACTCGTAATTTAGCCTTGGCTTAGAATTGGAACTTGTTTCAAACGTCCCCCTATTGACATCAATTCGTCGTACTCAACCTGACAACTAACCTGTTCGGTAAGGCATGTAAATACGCAAATAATCCTCCCAACATGACTTAGGATCGCATTTGGGAGCACATACGATTTGTTTGAGTGCCTCAATGGTCTTACCTTCACAAACAGGATGGACATGTGGGCGAAGGATCGGTAGTGTGGTGAGTAGCTGTAGAGACACTGCAAACAGTGCATCAGATTGCCCACTTCTTTCTTCATTTCATTCTGTAAAATGAATAATAATTTGTCTAACATAGTAGGCTGGAGTTATTTTGCTATAGAACTGCCACCGATCTCAGTTTTTTACGTAGACTTGTTATTCCAAGGTGGCGCTAACCAGTTTTGTTACCAAACACTGCAAAATGAAACTGCACTTGGCAAATCGCTCCATTTAAGGTGGCTCAAGTAAACAGAGGAAGAGTTTGTAAAACTCACGATTTCGTATCTGTACAGAGGGTTACACCGCTGAATTATAACTTGGAGAAACTTGGCGTTCTTTAGTGCCTCACAGTGGATGGCCACTACACGATCATCCAGTTCCTTCCAAGTCTACAAAGTACCACCAATTTTACCCGATAAACCTACAAAATCCATCAGTTAAATGGGTAAATACCTTTTTGACGTGGAAACTATAATTTCTTTTAAAACAATATAGAATTTTCTAAGTCACTTTTTTTACAACCCAGTGTCATCTATCGTCATTTAATAGTCATTTTGCAGTCTTCCATCCTTGAATGCATACTATGGACTTAAGTGCACTGACAGTAGTCAAACTAGTGCACTTTAAAGGGTCATTTTAGTACCTTTTCTCACGGAATTGAAATCCAAAGTTTACTAGATTGAATGTACGTAGCGCTCACCGAGAGGGTATTTGAACTAGCCACCGTGAGTACAGTCAGTGTTTTCTTCACCAAAGGAGCGTTCATCTCCTTCATAATTAGGTTGTACCGTGTGGCGCGTTGCCTCCAGAATCTCATTTCTGTCCGTGGTCCACTATTGGACACCTCCTCGCGTATCATGTCGATTTCTTGAACCTCCTGTAATGACAAAAGGCAAGGAATCATCTTATCTGACCCAATAAACGATCAAAGTAGCTAGGTGAAAAAGGAAATTCACCAAGGACACTTGTCTCATCCAATGACAGACACATTCCTCTAGTAACCCAAGGTCTTTCAAGTTGCGAGCTGCCTCTTGAACACGGTGAGAGTCTTGGAGAACTTCGATGTCAATATCGCGGCAGGGAGCAAGCTTGAATTTCTCCTTAGCGCATGCGTCATTTGCTAAACAAATGAAAATAATCATATAGTTATTTTTTACTGACAAAATTAAAGTAGCTTACTTTCGAGGGCCTCCAAGTACTCGTTAACCGCGAAGATGAAGGATTGTTTTGCCTGATGAGTCATCTTTCCCAGATTCGCTTCTTGTGCTTGCATAGCAGGAACGAAAAATGCTTTGATCATTTGGGATAACCAGTTGTACATGTTTGGAACGGGGTAGAGTCGTCGCATAATGAGAACTCGCTGAAATCGAATGGAAATGTATATAAAGTGATGCCTCGAATTGATGAAAATAAGGCGAAGAGTAGGTACCGATTTGAAGTTTTGCGCCGTGATAGGCCCTTCCTTTAATCCAATGTCCAAAAAGAGGATTCCTTCTACTTTCTGGGGAAATGTAGCAGCATTTGAGAACTTTATTTGAAATGACGCCACCATGGATGGATCCAAAGCTGCAAAGATACATAAGGTGCTGTTGAGAAACGTGGGAATCTCATTAGCGTCAGTTATAGATACTGAACATTTATGGTAGACTAGCTGACGGGTTCGCCGCTAGGGTCTGGGGGGGAGGGGGAGGAAATTGGCTACCACACCAATTGCTGCTCAAGGAGGACAAAATATGCATTTTATTCTGACACGAATATTCCGCACATTAACTTCGTTTTTTCTTACTCTCCACAAATCGGTTTGTGATGTTTGTGACACCGACCTCCGAAAAGAAAGTCGGGGTATCACGTAACATGCAACGCTGGGAGTGAACGGATCAAGAAAAGTAAAATGACATTTTTGGCTCATTGTTCTCCACCCTTATGCTCCATGATTACCTTTACTGTAATAGCATCGTTGAGGACTGGAAAAGGAAGGTCTTAGACCTACTGAGTCTAAAGACAAAGATAATAACCTACGGCGATCATTGAGGGATTGGATCCCGACGATCAGAGCAGCACTCGGTGGATCTTTGGCTTGGAGGAAATTGGAGCAGACGTTCTTGTTCTCTGGATTTAGCAGTGCTCTTAACGTAACCCTACGTGGAATGCCAAGAATGCGCAAGATGTAGTCCATCAGGCACTCATACACTGGAGTTATAGAGTCCGACGCATCTGTTGATCCTCTAAACTAAAGTACAAAAATCGTTTGAATTTGTAATGATACGCAGAATCCTAAACTTCACTCTGCAGTCGTGCATTAGAGTATTATCAGGATAAAAAAAAATGCAATTGGTAAAGAACTCTGGTTCTCCTCAACATTTAAAAATAAGCCCATCGATCATGCGAAACGAGGGACTCACTAATGTTGCAATCGGGGGCAGAATAAACATCCAACGGATGGAATGAATTTTATCGCATATTTTTGTCACCTACTTCTTTAATGACCTTGTTATTAATTTGATTTTTTCTCATGTATTAAGTGTTATTTAAAGCATAATAGGCAGCAGGTGCAAGAAGCTATAAAGTCCTGTCTAATATGCACCTCTATTTCTAGGTGGTTTTGAGTTCAAACACCCCTCAGTGAATTTACTTTACTACAAAACGATGGTACTTATTAAAACCTAAGGTTCATTCACTTTGTGCACAAATTGGAAGTTTTCCAAGTTCATTCGACTAGCATCTGACAAGCATTTCTGAGAGAGAAGTGGGAAGCATAGAAAGCCTCCCTCGCAAAAAAAGGTGCTGTCTAAATCAAGTCAAAAGTGAGGTTTTGTAGCTAATCGACTTACCATCACGGCAATGTTGTCTCAAAAATCGAGTTATAAAGTCAATAAACCTAGAGTTTAAATTATCTACTCAAATTGTAATTGGACAGCAGCAGGTTTATGGATTTTTAATTAGGCAGCGCGTTAAGCTCGAGATGACCCATACAGGTGCAGTCTTCTGGACCTTGAGCAAAAATACCGCTTTTAATGGTGTATATGTAATGCTTCAATTGTTTCGTTAACTCTTCCCTTTGGCTTCATGGGCACTTAAGGCTCTGACTTTGTACTTTCGCTGGGCGTAATGACCTACATGGCATGGTAGTAACCACCCAGACTCTGTGCGCATCGACAATGCACATTCATTTGACCTCATGGAAGTCTTGGGGTGCCACATTGGTGGTAGTGGAAAGCAAACCCAATCTTACAGGATAACATCCTTGATTCCTACTCTGAAATGCTAAGCCTCAACTTGAAAAAGGAAGGCATAAGCAGTGGCCGGAAAAATCTGGATTAAATTCCAAAAAAAGGATATTAAATGGAGCTGCAAACCATGCGTGCATTCAAGTTTCTTTACTTGAATCACACTTTTCTCGACCCATAACAAATAGCACGTAATCATGTCTATCCCACTTCAGCC